CTCGGACCTCCCGATATCTCGACTCACTGAACAAGGTGAGAAAATGAGCATTTGCCCCTAGCGTCTATTGATTTCTGTGTCTGAGGCGCTTTTTCCTTTGGACAGGGCTGGAAAGGGGAGGCTTCAAAAAGATGACCGATATCCAAGCTCAAAGCATCCCCATGGCACTGAAACGCCGCGACGTCCTTGGTGCCGCTCGTACAGGGAGCGGGAAGACTCTTGCGTTTCTCATTCCGATGCTTGAAGCCCTATATCGCGCCAAATGGGGCCCTCAGGATAATCTCGGAGCTCTTATCATGTCCCCCACCCGCGAGCTCGCAATACAGATCTTTGATGTTCTGAAGTCCATTGGGCGTTTTCACCCTTACTCTGCTGGCCTAGTCATTGGCGGGAAGAACGTGAGTGAGGAAGCCGTGCGGTTATCCCGGATGAATATTCTGGTTGCGACGCCCGGCAGACTGTTGCAGCACATGGATGAAACCGCGGGATTCGAAACGAGCAATCTTCAAATTCTCAGTGAGTCTTTGTGCCGATAACAACTTACTAGTAAAAAGACCCATATCCCTTCCAGTCCTGGATGAAGCCGACCGGATACTTGATTTGGGCTTTTCCAAAGCTCTGAACGCTATTATTTCCCATCTCCCTAAATCACGACAGACACTCCTCTTCTCCGCCACTCAAACCGATTCCGTAAAGGACCTTGCCCGATTGAGTCTACGAGATCCCGTCACCATCACTGTGAGGGAAGAACAGGCCCTCAATATTTATACTCCTAAAAACTTGGCGCAACACTACCTCGTTTGCCCACTGGACAAAAAACTTGATATTCTTTTCTCCTTCATTAGGACTCACCTCCAAGTGAAGGCATTAGTTTTCTTCTCTGCTTGTAAACAGGTAAGCCGGGTTTTCAGATGATGTCGTGGCTTGATGCATCTTGGGTTGTTGTAGGTCAGGTACATATACGAGACGTTTTGCAAGCTACGTCCAGGGACATCATTATTGAGTCTCCACGGGAATCAGAAGCAAACCAAACGGTGGGATGAGTATCAGCGATTTGTCTCTGTGAAACACGCCTATCTTTTCGCTACGGACGTCGCAGCGCGAGGTCTCGACTTCCCTGCAGTGGACTGGGTCATACAGGTCGATTGCCCTGAGGATGCTGAAACATACATACATCGTGTTGGCCGCACGGCGCGGTACAAAAATAAGGGCCAAGGTCTCTTATTTTTGTTACCTAGCGAAGAGGAAGGCATGTTGAAGGCTTTGAAGAAAAAGGATATTACACCAGAAAAGATTATACCAAGGGAAAGCAAAACAATGAGTATCAAAGACAAACTGCAAATATTTGCGTTTGAAAGCCACGAACTCAAGTATTTGGGGCAAAAGGCGAGTATATCCAATATTGAGTTTGCAATCAATTTTTGATACGCCGTTTTCCTTCTATTCTATTCTAGGCATTTATTAACTACGTGAAATCAATATATCTCCATAAAAATAAGGAGATCTTTAAGGTTTCCGAGCTCCCTCTGAAAGAGTTTGCAGTCTCTTTGGGTCTTCCTGGTGCTCCCAAGGTCAAATTCATCAAGGCTTCGACTTCCAGCTCAAAGCCAAAACCCGCAGCCTCTACCAAACACGTTAAATTTGACCATCACTCTGCCAGTGATGGCAACAACTCCGACGAGGATAGCAGCTTATCTTCGGACCCACCAGAAGACGAGGATAAGGCAGTCGCAGAGCCGAGGGACGATAATGCTGAAGATGCAACACCAGAAAACGGCAACTCTGCCGCTAAGGTATGGCCAAACGTATTTATCTTCTCTACTTTACTTTGGTTAAACCTTCTGTCATCAGCCTACCGTCCGTACCAGATACGATCGAATGTTCCAGCGGAAAAACACAGACGTTCTATCGGAGCATTATAATAAGCTGATCGAACACGAAGACGACGAAGAGGACGACCTCCTTGGCGGAGGCCATGCCCCGGAAGACTTCATCACACTGAAACGTGTTGATCATGAATTGCCAAAGGACCTTGAAATGGACAGGGTGATCCTCGAAACGGAGAATATGTCGAAACGAAAGCAGAGACGGCTGGATTCGAAGAAGGCTTTGGCAAAGCTGGCTCCTAAATTTGCCAAGAAGATGATTTTCGATGAGGAGGGTGTGGGCCATAACGTCCACACTTACGAGGACGACGAAAACTTCCGGAAGAGTGATGTTAAAGCGGCTGTTCAAAAGTACGCGGATGTGAAAAGGAAACAAGTTCAAGAAGCAGATGCTGGTGACAAGCAGATTGCCAAAGAAAAGAAACGGGAAAAGAAGCGGAAACGAAAAGATAAGGAACGGGCGGTGAGTTTCTCCTGATCTTCCTGTGCGACTCGTCCTCACTATCGATCCTATGTCTCGCCGCTCAACCAGGAACAAGACGACATACAGGTTGTTCTGGGAACAGAACGGAATGAAGACGATGGATATGTATCGCCTGAATTCGATCTTCCCAGTGCCTCCGAAGATGAAGGCCCACCTTCTAAGCGTCCTAAAAACACTGAGGCTTCAATACCTGAAGACTCGTCGAAACGGGACGCATCCTGGTTTGACGCAGACGAGCAACTTGCTCTCCAACTGCTTGAGGGAGGGAGTTGACGCTCGTTGCAATGCATTGTATGACTTATTTTTGTGTATGTTTCAAAAATTGCATCCCACCATTACAGCTACAAATTGTCTTCCGTGGGGGGAATTCTTGATACATTGTATGTAGTATCAAGTGAATTTATTCTTCGGAGGCTTCGTGGCTGTGTTTCGCCCGTCGGAAGACTCCTGAAGCCGGCGTCCTCGTTGCAGCGATGCGTGCATAAATCTTCATTGATTTGGATATACCTCTAGACAGTATTGTGGATGCCCACTAGACCCATCGCTTCTGTTTCGGCAATACGCCACGAGCTTACACCAATAATGAGTAGATCGTTTGTCACCGACTCCACGGAGGACCTCGCATCTACCTTGACACAAGAGGATAGCCGCGAGCCTAGTGACAGCGGCCACGAGGAGTCCGCACCCCCTAGCCTCTTCAGAAGCCTTGTTCTGAGGCTTCGAATATGCTTCTTTTTATTTGGAACAATTAACAATGGTGTGTGCTTTGACCCCTAAATACGTTAGACGCTCAGTGATTCCACTGTTGTTAAGTGTTATATGTGATTATTCTGTCTGCTGCATTAGACCTCGTCCCCACCGGGACACCCAAGGTACGTCCAGAATACTCAGGGGGTTTCGGTAAAGCTGGTGTCTCACTTCACTCCTTGTCGCTTTCTCCTACTCGCTACAGGGGATCATCGCATTCTGCAATATTGCTCCTTCTCTGGCGGCCAAAATTGGATGGCCTTACCTCCTCAAAGGGAAGATACAGTATAAACAAAGGATTATTGGATGCTGCTTTATGAGTGTTATGGGGATGACTGTATGTATTCACAGCCGCTGCCCTCCGAGGCGGGATCTTATTCATATCTTGATTCCCCAAGGTTGTGGCCGCCTTTAACTATCTCTCGATGCGTCTGCTGGGCATTGCTTTAGCGTCACTCTCATCCGGCCTCGGCGAACTCACCTTCCTTCAACTGTCGACAACGTATACATCGAGCGGGGTTTCCGGTGATGCATTAGGATATTTCGCGTCTGGCACTGGATGCGCCGGACTTCTCGGAGCAGGTTTATGGTGGGTTCTGAGGGGTTTTGGGGTACAGCTCGGCGTGGGCCTTTCGTCGGTGAGCCGTTCTGTGCTCACATCGAACGTCCACCCAATGACGGAGCTTCCAGTTGCTACCCTTCGTGATACCATTAGCCTATTTTCTCGTTCTTCCCACTGCAACCAACTTTCTGAATGCAGGGACCTATACACCTTTCGAACATGATCATTACATGGGGATTCCATCGGCTGAAATTCCGGCAGAAAGCCCGAGCATGATTATAACCTCAAATCGTGACAATGCCTCCTCTGGTGCCTCGTCCGTTTGCCTAACTCCCGCTGACAAATGGCGTCTCGTTCGCCCTCTGATATTGCGATATATGGCCCCATTATGTGAGTACCCCAATGCCAATCTTGAAAGGGAGTTTGTCACCGACTCGGTATCTTGCAGTCTGTGTCTACACAGTATGTAGTCCTAACGTAGAGATTCTATATTTTGTTCTGACGAGATCAACGTCCCTCTCAAAGTTTGAATACACAATCAATCAAGGCATATCTCCTACACTAATTTTTGCAGTCCCTAAACCTTCCCAACACCCTGTGCTGAGTCACATCGTGAAGAGCATTAGAGACTATTATCCGCTCTGGCAGGTTTGTGCCTTGCTACGTGATGTAACTTTCGAATTATCAGCATCCGCTGACACCCTCCACAGCTGATCTATCAAACAACCGTTTTTCTCTCCCGCTCTTCCATTTCACTAGGCCTCCCTCCGCTTCCTCGAAAGTACCTCCCGGTGCCTGCAATCTTACAAGCATTCATTTTGATCTTCCTCTTCCTTGAATCGTCGCGTGGTATCATCCCTCCCGGGGAGACCGGACAGCCTGATGACGATGAGAGCGCTAGCATCCTATGGGTTGCATTCTTTATTGCTATTGAAGGGATTTGCGGAGGTTCTGCATAGTGAGTCACCCATTAAGCCAGTTGAGTCTAGTTTGGTTTAACACAACAGCATGCGGTTCCGTCGCTTTATCAATTTATTAGCGTGAATGCGTTCTACCATGTAGGTCATGAGGATTTGGATGTCGCGAGTCAGGATCCCCTCGCGTTCGAACGGCAAGTCCAGGAACGAGAGTTCAAGATTGGTGCTATTGGTCTCGCGGATACGTTCGGCATCTTGACGGCTAGCTTGTTAGCCGTACCTGTGGAGATCAAGCTTTGCCATGATCAGATCTCCCGCGGAAGGGAGTTATGCAGGAAAGTGTAACGATGCAATGCAGGGGCGTGGCTGCTTGGAACTGTTTTTGGGAACTGCGTTTCTTTCGGCAGGCACTATTGGTGGTCATTGGTGACCTTAATGCATCAGTTTGAAGCAGTGGCAATTGTCAACGATTCGTGGGCCGTGATGATTGGACGCCCGTTTGATTATCCGGTCTGGCGCACTGCGGCGGTTTCACCACTGCCGCCGCCATTGATCATTAAAATGCCAAGAAGTGAAACGTGTGACACATCCATCAGCGACCAGCTCCTGTGTGGATTTTGTATTTGGGAATGTATGAGAATCAGTGTGATCGCTAGCCCCAGCGGTCTTCACTCACTGTGTCCAGAGAAAGCTTATCCGTAGCCGAATAGTACAGGGATATCTGTGATGGAACACTACTCCACTGGCCAGAGTAGCGGTGGTGTGGAGCTTACTGGTTGGGGACGGTAACGTTCCATTCCCCCATTCACCTCAGGCCTCAGTTAGTCCATCTAAATGATACACTTTAATGAGCTGTATATTCAATGGGTAGAGGTAAAAGGCTAGATCCCTCATTACAACCATGAGGTATATATATGTAATTACATATCTCGGCACAAACAAATAAAGGAACAACACTATTGTCATATTGTAGGGAATGGATGTGTGGTGATGCATGCTGTGCACACTATCTTTATTCATTGTTTATTACTTTTTATTCCTCGATGTAAATAAACATGTATATAGTGCAGGGAAGGGTGAAACAGGTTTTCACTCTTCTCCTCCCCTGTCTAAAATACAGCTCTATACTGCCTATTTCCAGACAGCTTGAGGATAGCAGGTGTCAACACTAAGGTTGGAATCTGTTAGACACTGGTCCGGGGTCGGCACCGAGGGTCGCCGTTGTGGGCCGCTATAGGCCACGATGGCCGTGATGCCGCGAACAAGGCCTGAGGGTAGGGCATCTGGCCTCAGCGACTCTAAAGGAGCGCTGTGCCCCCTAGCTGTCTCTTGGCCCTCATTTCAGACTTACTGGGGCTGCCTTGTTGGGGTCAGGACTTGAGGGGTCGTGGTCAAATCGATATTAGAGCTAAAGTACTATAATGTAGTATACAGGATATATATATGAAGGCAGAATGAATTGAAGTGGACCCGGGCCGAAGGCCAAAGGGTCCGGAAGCAAAAGGGAACAAGGAGCAGGGTTGGCCGCACAGTGGCCAGCAATGACTGAGGGTCAAAACAAACAATAACAGATAAATAAACAAAGGGGTGTAGGGCTGTGATAGCGGTGATGGTATCATAGCGGAGTAGGCGATGTTGCAGAGTCACGCTAGGTTGGTGCCAGAGGCGGACTCGGGGCAGGGAGGTCGGTGTGGCTGTGGGGGAGTCGGCCAAGTGTAGGGGAGCCTAGGGGCAAGTGGGGGAGTGAGCAGGGAGCCCTCAGGGAGGATAGGGCTGAGGTCAGGGCTCGCGCTTGCGCTCGCACAGCAGGAATAGGCTTGGGCAGCATCAGGACGGGTGGCTAATGGGCCGGAATGCATGGCCGTGACAGTATCCCCCTCTTAGGGCCTGAACCCTTGAAGGCCTAAGAGTGGTGATGTCAGGAATGCCAGCTACAGCAGAGCACCGGAGTCAGAAGAGAAAAAGGTGCAAGATGAATGCTGCCAACATCTCGGCAGGGGATTGGTGTCCATAAAAGGACAAGGGCATGGTACCTTGCTTTGGTATCCAGTCAGCACGTGTGGCACCGAGTCTGGAATCGGCAGAGGGTATGGTAGAGGGTGTCCCACAAGGAGACAAAGTCGGAGCATTGCAAACGGTGACATGGAAAGATCAAAATGCCTCAAGCAGAGGCGAAGTCGGCGTGGGATTGGTGTGGGACTCAAAATGGAAGTCGGAGACAGAGTCGGTGATGATGGCTGGAGGGTCAGAGGAGAACAAGCTAGTGGACTTGTCTCTTAACTCAAACTCGGCCTTCCTACCATGCTTCCTATGAGTCCAGGGATCCAGGTAGCGGAAGTGAAGTGGCCTAATTGGCCTGAAGGGTGCAGAGGCAACAGATGGAGGCCGGTTGGGCAACTCACATCATGTCCAAGGGTTCAGAGGTGTGGTGCATGGAGGACAAGAGTCCACTCAACATGACCGCTGAGTTCGGGGATGCAGCGCAAGGAGGACAGAAGTCAACTCACAAGGCGGCCACAAGTGGGGGGCCAAATGATGACACATGGGAGACCACACAAGTGACTCTCATAGTGCCTGAAGGAACGGAATGTGATAGAGTTCCCAGCGGTGTGGCAGTACAAGGCATGGTACTGCTGCGGCATGGTGCAGACTCATCACAGAAGGAAATGGTGAAGTTGAGACAAGGTCCTCAGAGTGCTGGAGCACAGGCCGAGTGTTATGGAAATGGGAAATTTCCCAATTTAGACTCTTATGGGCCCTGCACACACCCAAATCACATGATATGTAAATAAATAGAGTTTATCCAACTATTACCATCCAAAAACCCATTTGTTAAACTATCTGTTAAACATCATGTTACAACATCTATAACAACATCTGTAACTTCTTATGAACCCTCTTCCCCAACCTTTCCCCTTTCCTGTGCCTCGAACGGACAAAAATGGGCGCCTCCAGCCCCATTTTTGTAACACCGAGGGTAGACTTGCTCAGGGTGTTCAGGTGGTTAGCCTGCCAAGGGCCAGGAATGCGCAGATTTGCGGCATTTGGTATGAAAACTCGGCCAAGTGGCAACGGCGTCACCAGGAGAATGGGAACAAAGGACTCGGGATCCCATTTGGTGATGGCACAAGGAGGTACTCCATGCCGCTATGTTGATTACAGCGAAAGCGGGATTAACGGGATGGAGT